CCTGCATTTTTCTTGTTGAATATCCCATTTTACTTTTAAAGGGGTCATCGGATGCAAAATTCACTTTTGTTGTTGTTTGAACATAAATGTGTGTTGGAAGTGTGTGTACACATCCACCCTATAATGATAAAAATCCACCCAGTGTTTTTTTTAAAATCCCTATTTTAAATGACCCTTTCTCAAATCAGGCTGTTCTGAGATTCCTGTCAGAATGACGTAGTTCTGTACAGGCCCCTCCCACGATAGTTGATTGACAGTAGCGTTTCAGCACAGACTGGACTGGTGTCTTACCTTAGACCCACCCTGAGTGAGCTGTGAGCTGTCCGCCATTGTGTCGACTCCGGTGCAGGGGAAGACAAGAATGTCTCCAATTAAGCGATTGAGGTGTTTTGTTGTTGGATGTAATAATGAATATAGCAGTCGTCATTTACTCCAGTGTTCGCGTGAATCGAAGACGCAGAGGAATAACGTTACTTTAGTTTTTGAAGTGAATGCGCCGATCCCCGATCTGCCTAAATGCGTCTGTTCGCGTGAATCATTCGTGATCCAGCTTCATCTACAGTAGAAGTGAGTATAAGGGTTTTTTATGAATCTTTGCAAATCGCCTTTCCTAATAACGTGCTAGTTAGCAAGTTCCGTGGCTAAAGTAAAGAGTATAATGAGAACGGCTCGTCGCCCACGGAAGAGAGTGGCGGGGTCATCAGAGCTCATTAGCATTTAAAGCAACATGAACTAGAACTGCGTGCAGAAAACAGAGCTGATTTTGACAGGGTAAAAAGGGTGTTTTTTACACTACCATTGAAAAATTTTAACCAAAGTATGTGTTGTGGCAAAAACAATTATTAACAAATAGCATCACAGTGTAAGAGACAAGGAATCAAATTAGCAATTTTTTATCATTTGCTACCCTTTGCTTCCTAGGAGAAACAACTGAGATATTTAAGGACCTAATTTGTAATTTTTTCCCTTTCTTTTCTGTGGGGTATTTATTATCATAACACTTTGGTGTTTCATTCATCGAATCCAGAGTTCCTGATGATTCAGATGCTAAGTCTGGTGTGATCCGGCAGAGACAGAACTGTCTAGAGTCTCGTATAGTTAAGGGTCAGGATCTCCCAGTGCTCACACTTGCACCCTGCAGCATCACCAAAGATGTACCAGCAGCCATCCAGGTAAAATCTCTCTAGCATAATATCAGAAAAGCCATGCTTGAAGTGTTAATTGATCAGCTTTGTTTTTGCATATCATTTAATGTATTTAAGGTACTGCCATTGCTGGAAAACTAGCACTGGCTGCATTATCCATGCCTATTTGGCATTCACAAAACTTACACCATAGATGTCCAATTATAACCATTTAGAGAATATATTGCCTTTAAGCACTGTGCTCACATATTCTACTGAACAGTTTGGTGAAGATCAGAGGAGGAGCAAAGGTAGTGTGTATTTTTACTCTCACCAGGAATCAGTGACATCTCACACGGTTAGGCTGCGATTCTGAGATGCTAGATTACATTAAATGCTATGCAACCAGGGGCATGTTGAAAGGGCAGCTTTTACAGCGGGGTAATGAGATTTAATTCAGGTCACATTTGTGCACTGCTGTTAATTATATTAAACAAAGAGGTGCCCTCTGGTCTCTGAGCAGCTAATCTGCCCTACTGTCACCCTTCATGGCTCCCTCACCTGCGCATGAGCCTGGAAGAAAAACACAATTGTGCGTCATTCAGAATTGAATCAAGAATGGCTATTAAAGTCCATTCAATTGCTGGATTTTAATTGAGCTAACAAACAGAATTTTAAATTTGAATTTAAAGAAATAGTAAAACTGTTCAGTAGAAATAATATAACTCAGTATAAATATAAATTTAATTATAATATATAATATAAATATTCAGTTTTGCACCTAGGAATTATCTATAAACAATGTATGGGGTGTTTTAAAAGGAACTATAAAGTCTATAAATTATAATCAATGTTTGATGTTTAAATATATTTTCATTTTTATTATATTTAATTAAATTTTTTGTGTTATTTTCATTTTATGGACCATGATGGGAAAAAACGGCATAAACTCCAGCTCAAAAATTCAAAGGGATCCAATTCTTAAATTGAAAATCTGGTTCATCCAAAGCCACCAACTACTAGTCATAAAGCCTTAGACCATTCTACTCAGAAACTGTTTCACGAGTTTGCACTTAGATATAATCAGATTGAGCAAATAGTAAGCATATTTGGCATGCTGTCCGATGGGAGGGCTCCGAGCTCGGAATTCAGCCCAAACCCAGAAAACTCCCCATATCCCCAACCTGGGAAAATAATAGTTAGGAGTGTGGAGTTGGGGTGGAGGAGGGATGCAAGAAAAATTGTTGTGGGACAGAGGTAAGTTGGCTGTATATATTTACTATCATGCTAATTAAGTTGATTATCTGAACATGCTCCACCTGTGCTGAATTAGTTGATTATCTGAACATGCTCCTCCCAAACTTTGTTAATAAAACATCATTTATTTAACTGAGTCTCTCTCTTGTTTCTCTGTGCACTGTAAAAAGTTGCATTTTACAGATGTTTGTTCTCTAAATTATGAAGCCCAGAGATGATGGTAGACAGTAGATTTGGGGCCAGAACAGCACAAAAGTTATTTCAGAGCACTTAAGTGTGTTCATAACACCACAAGAGCATGTTTCCCTGCTGCCTGCTGCGCATGACCTTGTTAAGCGTCTGTAAGACTCACCAGATGGGAAGCAGTTCATCAGCATGGCTCACAAAAATACATGCCCTCGTGCGTCATTCTCTTCCTATACGCGTCTCAGAACAGCAAATGAGACCACCTTCTTGAAAGAAAGCAAAAAGTGACTATTTTCTTCTAACATCTCTTTCTCTGTTTACCATTTAAGTAGAGCTGGCATATTAGAACAGACATCTTTAAATGAACAAGTTTGTGAATGCTCTAGCTTGTTTCCTAATCTAGTTTTCTAATAAATGTGACTGTATACTATGGATATTGTCGGCTCTGTGATGAATTGCTTATGTTCCTCTATTGTAAATAGCTTTGGTTAAGCATCTGCTAAATACATAAATGTAATGTTAATGCAAACCTATGAAAGATGGATTTTTTTAAAGGTAATTGCAAATTAATGAACACATATGACTTTAAAACTAGAAGACATTTATTTAACAGAAGAGAAAGAAAGCACCAGGCCTAGACGGTGTTTAACCAGCCTGTCTAAAAACCTAAGCTGACCAGCTGGCCCCCATCTTCACACAGAACTTCAACAGATCACTGGAGCAGTGCAAAGTCCCTTCCTGCTTCAAACACTCCACCATCATCCCCATCCCAAAGAAACCCAAAATTATAGGACTAAATGATTACCGACCTGTGGCTTTAATATCTGTGGTCATGAAGTCATTTGAAAGACTGGTGCTGGCCCACCTGAAGGACATCACTGGACCCCCTGCAGTTTGCATACTGAGCAAACAGGTCTGTGGATGATGCAGTCAACATGGGATTGCATTATATCCTACAACATTTGGACAGACTAGGGACCTGTTTGTGGGCTTCAGCTCAGCCTTTTAACACTATCATCCCAAAGCTCCTCCTGTCCAAAGTAACCCAGCTCTCTGTGCCCACCTCCATCTGTCAGTGGATCACCAGCTTCCTGACAGACGGGCATCAGCTAGTGAGCCTGGGAAAATTCTCATCCAGCACCTGCACCATCAGCACTAGCGACCCCCAGGGATGTGTGCTCTCCCCACTGCTCTTCTCCCTCTACACCAATGACTGCACCTCTAAAGACCCCTCTGCCAAGCTCCTGAAGTGGTAGTTTCACATAGACTCCATTGTCAAGAAGGCCCAGCAGAGGCTGTACTTCCTTTGCCAGCTGAGGAAGTTCAACCTGCCACAGGAGCTGCTGATACAGTTATACTCTGCAGTCATTGAATCCGTCCTCTGCACTTCTATAACTGTCTGGTTCAGCTCAGCTACCAAATCAGACCTTAGAAGATTGCAGCGGATAGTCCGGACTGCTGAGCGAATCACTGGTACAACCCTCTCCACTCTCCAAGAACTGCACTCATCCAGAGTGAGTAAAAGAGCTGGCAAAATCATGCTGGACCTCTCACACCCAGCCCACTTCCTCTTTGAACTGTTGCCATCTGGTTGGCGCTACAGAGCACTGAGCACCAGAATGGCCAAGTATAAGAACAGTTTCTTCCCTCAGGCAATCTATCTCATGAACAGTTAACTTGGCAATAAACGTGTAATACACAACACTATTTATACATTTATTTAACACACATACCTCCTTTTACATTTCCTTGCATTTGTACATAACACACCTGTACACACCAATACCATCTATTGTCTACATTGTATATTGTGTATTTTTTATATATTTTTTGTATATTGTTATTTCCTATTTACTTAAACTATTTTATTCATTTTATTATCTGTGTCTTGTCACTGTCATTCTGTTTGTGCTGTGGAAGCTTCTGTCACCAAAACAAATTCCTTGTATGTGTAAACATACCTGGCAATAAAGCTCCTTCTGATTCTGATTTAGTTTTCCATTTTAAAGGTTTATTTGGTATCAGTCCAATGTGTCACATAACATTTAAAATCATTCACCTAAAAATGGCAATTTGCTGAAAATTTACTCACCCTCAGGCCACCCTAGATGTAGAAGAGTTTGTTTCTTCATCGGAACAGATTTGGAGATTTTACCATTATATCACTTTCTCACCAGTGAATCCTCTGCAGTGAATGGGTGCCATCAGAATGAGAGTCCAAACCGCTGATAAAAACATCACAATAATCCACAAGTAATCCACATGACTCCAGTCCGTCAATTAACATCTTCTGAAGCGTAAAGCTGCATGTAAGAAACAAATCCATCATTAAGCCATTTTTACTCATCTACATATTGGATGTCCTGAGAGTCAGCAAATTGTAATTTTTGGGTGAACTATTCCTTTAAATCATCTGTAAGATCTTTGTATTTACAGCAAAGACATGCACTCCATTGAAATCTGTGTAATTGTCTAGAAAGAGAATTGTTATTGCTTTTTCATTTCATTATACGTTGGATCAGCTTCAGAAAAGCCTGCATTCTTTCCCACACAGGAGTGGATCTACACCCATGGACAGCAAATCCGCCAGCAGCAACACTGTCTGTCCGTCTCCACCACTTTCCCTGCCTCCCAGATACTGCTCGTGCCATGCAACATCAGTGACGGCAAGCAGGTACCCCCACTGCAGTCACTCCCAACGAGAATGCAGGAGACATCTGTGACAGACCAAATCAGGCCGCACTTAGAAAGCTCCCGGAGGAACCCACTGACATCAGCTCTACGAGTATCAGTCCCAGCGTTAGACAGCCCCTCAGGAGAGGCTTTACTCTCAGGCTGATGTCAGCATTTCCACACGTCACATTTGTCATGTCAGTGTCAGGGACATGCAGCATACTGTAGCATCAGAAAACATTCGCTTTGTTTGTTGTGCAGGGAGGTGTACATGTAAGTAGATAAATGGGAAGTATGAATGTGTACTATACATTATATGCAAGATATTTTATGCTGTCCACAGCTACTGTGCACTTACGCATGTGTTCATGTCTCCTGTGTTACTGCAGCGTTGGCAGAAATCTGGCACTCACCTGGAGCACCTGGCGTCTCGTTTCTGTGTGGACAGCGAGATGGCTCTGGACGGCGTCGAGAGCAGTAAAATGCTGGTGATCAGCCCATGTGAACAGTCAGCACACACTCAGAGATGGGAGATGCCTTTCTCGTGATCCTTCCTCCTTGGCCTCTCCTCGCCTTTCAGAGCTCAGCTGGAGTCAAAGATGGATAGAGAGGCAGAGAGAGTGAGTGTGTACCTCCAGGAGGGGCTACATCTGTGTCCTGCTGTTCTGCTATGTCCACTCCCTTTGTCTCTTCGGCACACCCCAGGTATGCTGGGATTGCAGGATGTTCTGACTCAACGACATGACCTCATTACTGCCTCTATATTAATGCTACTTTCTACATAATGGGGTTGTCTGATAAAAGACACGTGCTGTCAAGTGCTGAAGGTAACTCTTAAGCAAAAAAAATGTTCTAATGGTAAAATATTTTTTCCTATCCCAGTTTAATATGCAAAGTCATCTATAAGTAAGCTGCTAGTTGGCTGATTCCCCTGAAGACACTGTGACTATCAAAATATTGCTCTGTTTGTTTGAGCATCTCTACCAGGGCTGCGTTTCCAAAAAGCATCGTGAACCTAAGTAGACTCTAGAAATCAGTGGCACCAATGATCTGTATGAACAATTAGGCTCACAATGCTTCTGGGCAGTGTTGTTATTGTTAACAAAAAACTAAAACTATTAAACATGGTTTTCATTAACTGAAATAAAATAGAATATAAATATTAAATGAAAACAAATTAACTTTAAAAATGAAGTTAACTGAAATAAAAAACGCACTTAACAAAATGACTAAAACAAATTAAAATAACAACTAAAAATGTAAAAATAGAAGCTAATTAAAAAAATTATAAATGCTATAAGAGTATTTAAACAATACAAAATTAACACTGCTTCTGGGAAATGCAACCCAGCCTGACATAGCAGTGGCTCAACCAGTGGGCAGAAACATCATTTTTTCCAAACAATGAGTAAACTTTAAAAATATTAATATTTGTCATTATTAGTTTGATGTCATAATTATATAAAGCAGCAAATGATACACTTCTCTTTTAAACACTGTAATTTATGTTGGAGGAACATTACTTTTAAAAGCATATTTAAATACTTCTAATAGAAAGTAATTAATTGTTGCATTTTGACTTTTTAAGGAATTAAACTATGTTACTTTTGAGCTATCTTTGAGCTGTAATGTTTTGTGTTATCAGTTGGCCGAGACTCCTCTTCTTCCAAAACGTTGATGCTGAGCTTGGCTTGTTTTTTAGTTTTTGTTTTACATTCAAAGTGGTGTAAAAAAAAAGTGTTTTTTGCTGTGTTTGTCCTTCTGACAGTCTTGCAGTGTAGACAGCTTCATTGATTATAATGGGGGTGGCCTAGTTTTGTTGCTTTGCGTCATACCACCCGATTGCAGTGTAGACACTTCGTTGCACACAATGGGCAAGCCTTGACTGCGTTATAGGTAAGGAAGAGGAGTACTTAAAAAGTAGCTCAGGTATTATGGTATATTATGCATGTAAAAAATACCACATAGCCTTGCTTATTCCCCCCAAAATGTGTAACATGCATAATTTGCAATGCATAATTCCCAATTATTTTTGTACAAATACAATCTTAAGTTGGAAAAAAATACATTCATAAATTATTTATAAAATGTATAGCTTATAAATTAAAATGTAATACATCAAAAAGGCATCTCAGAAGACAATGTTATGAAAACCTAATTAGACAGTATTTTTTATGTCTTGGACACACCCTCTACGTTATATTTCAAAATTTGATAAGCCTCATATTAGGGCTGGGCGATTTTTAGCAAAAAATGTAAATCTCGATTTTTCCAGAATGTTTGACTGATTCTCTATTTTTTTTTACGATTTTTAACTAGTCAACTTGAAAATGTAACTACAACATGAGTCAAGTTACTTTTTCTTTATTAACCCTCTAGTTAAAGAAAATTCTATTCCAAGTGTAGCACACATGAAGTTGTCAACATGATGTAACGTCAACACAAGAGCGCATTCTGTGTGAATGACGCCTAGCGCTAAATTTATGGTTCTTCACAGAGCGTGTCACACGTGAGCGGTTAATCACGTGCGCCAACATGCGGTTGGATCGTTCTTTTCTCTTTACTATTATCCCCGGCATATTGTCAAAGTGTCTAATTCTAACATTTTGTCTGGCTGCCTGCACCTGGCAATTACATCCAATTAGGTTCTGGTGTTTTCTTACATATCCCTTCCTGATGCTGCAGTGATTTCACCACTGTTTTTTCTTGTTAAACTCCTTGGCGTTGCAGAGTTTGAACCTAATAGCTTTGAAGAACAAACCATTGAGTCGTTATTTGATTTCTGACATTCTAAAAGTGTGCGCTCTGAATAGTCTGCACGAGTCTCCACATGCCAACTTTATTTGAGTGAGAATGAGTCATTATGAGGGAAGGATCAAGATGAGAAGGGTGAGAGCAGAAAGATTTGTCTCAGACGTGTTATCTAATGATATGTGTAGGAGAGCTGCACTAGTCAATACAATGCAGAGGAGTCTATTTTTAGAGAATCTCGGAACCCTGGTGGTTAAGGATGATATGTCACAACAGAAGAGCTTCTTTATGGTTTAAAAATCGTTATATCATATGAGATCTCTTCTTTTGACCTACAAATTGCTTCAGCAGCACTGTAACTGTGGTATTTAAAAGCTGAAGTACCATAATGTTGAAATACTTTTTATTCCAGCTTAATGTGCAGTGACAATTATTGGCCATTTAAATGTTGATTTCTTTGAAATGTGCAATCGCTGTGGCTCTGTGGTGGCGCTATCAAAATATCGTCTTTGGCTCACAATCATCCCAGTACAGCAACATTGGCTCAACCAACAGAGTGCAACAGTTGGGTTCCAGGAGTAAAAGTCCCATTCATTTTGATTGATTCTTAAAGATTACTTATAAACCATCAAAGACAGACCTGTTGTGTGCTACAAGGTTGTTAATCAACCGTATATTCTTTTGTGGAAGCCGTCTATCCGCATTATTTCACTTTATTTTTTAACAGCAGAAGTCCTGGTGGAAAAATTACACATGATTCTGTATAGAAATCACCAATCAGACATTTGAAAACAAGCGAATGTAAAAACATTGTTATATTTATCCATCATTTTTTTATTTTATGTCAAAGATTTTAAGCACACAGTTTAGTACCTTTGTCGTTTTGTCCGGTTTTCAAATACTTTTTTGTAATGTTGTGATTCACCTTGGTTGGTTTGGTTCTTAGCTTGTAACTCTTTAACAAAGACTTTTTTAAAAATCCCTATGGGAAAAATACTTCCGTAACCAAGGCCTCTGAAAAAGTGGGGGGACTCTGTTGGACTCTAAGAGTGTGGGTTGGGGGCGGGTCTATCTTTTTCAACTAATGCCAGACGGAAGGAGTGTTTGGGAAATTGTTTATGGCATGCTTGATTCCACATGAACCCGTTCGCCATCAGGCGAAATCCAAGATTCCTATTGGAATGACTGGATTTCAACTGCAAAATCTTGCCGAAAAAAGTAAATGTGATTGCACCTTAATATATGCTGGCATTACTTTGTCATTCATATCACACTGTGAACTTGCTCTCTCTCGTTTTATACAAATGCAACTGCCGTCACTTTTTGCATCTTAGTTAACGAATATAGTGAAAATCACCTCATAAGACTTCAGTATTAATATGACTGTAATATGTTGCTGAGCCAATTCTTTTGTACATTGTAGTGGACTATTTTTCTTAACATAAGCTTTAAGATAATTACACACTTAATATCTCAAAATGTCCAGTGTGTTAAGCTTTAAACTTTTCATGAAACACTGCATCACTGGAGGGCTGGAAACTGCTGCTCTGCATTAGCCTGATAAAGACAAATGCAGTGTCTCTCTGATACTAAATAGAGAGAGCAGCCCCTGCCACGACCTTGAGCATCATTCACCCAAGGTGGATTAACTTCCACTGTATTGAAGGAAAGGGGCTGGAGTCCAGATAGAGAAACATATTAACCAGCTTTATTGTGTCTCAGTGGACAACAAATACTCCAGCCTTGGCATCGCATGAAAATGAAACGTAATCACTGAAAAGCAGCAGCAGGTGTTTCATTCCTCTTGTAAGTTTGCAGTAATCGACAGAAAGGCTTTGTCTCCATGTGCATCCCTCTGTCTCAGGGAGATTTTCCTGTCTTCAAGACTCATGGTGTGGGGGGTCATCATTATCCAGCTTTCAGAATGGCTATCAAGGGGCCACTAGCAAGCTGCCACTGTGGGTTATCACAGCCAGTGACCAAATAACTCAAACCTACAGCCCTAACACTTATACTACACTACTGCGTGCTTCACATCATACAATACAAAGAATATCAAGATTTTTAATGCAATCCTGTTCTGGATTTGTGAGATTCATTTTAGTTTGGTTCGTTTTGGTTTTCCTTATCTTAGTTATTGCTGCAATGCATAATGCAGGTTATAAAAATGGCTCATAACGGCTGCATAATATAGTTAGTGCTTCTAATTAAAATGTACAGTTCCTGGGTCAACACAAGACAATATCTCGAGCATTTGTTTGTGTAACATTTCATAAAAGCGTAGGAAACTAGCTTTGCCTGCGAAACAACCTGTTCTTTGGCTGACATTACTAAATCTTTTTAACCTGTATTGCTACTGTATAACGCCCACTTTTCATGATCCAATCCGTTTCTGATGGATAATATTAAAGGGATAGTTCACCCAAAAATGAAAATTTGATGTTTATCTGCTTACCCCCAGGGCATCCAAGATGTAGGTGAATTTGTTTCTTCAGTAGAACACAAACGAAGATTTTTAACTCAAACCGTTGCAGTCTATCAGTCATATAATGGCAGTCAATGGGCTCCACGGCTTCGAGAGTAAAAAAAAACATACACAGACAAAACCAAATTAAACCCTGCGGCTCGTGGCGATACATTGAGGTCTTAAGACACGAAACGATCGGTCTGTGCAAGAAACTGAACAGTTTTTATTTTATTTTTTACCTCTGATCCGCCGCAATGTCTGAGCGCGTTCACAACATCCGTGCATGACGCGTGTACGTGCTCTGGCATAGTAGACAGATATATATATAAGTAGATGCCTCATTAGTGACTGTTTCTATGGGCCGCGATACGTTCCAAAATGGCGTACGCGTCAACGTATCTGGAGCGGTCGAATAGGGAGTCTATACATATCTATGATAGTAGACGCATGTGCGGAAGCGATCTGTCGCGCGTATACGTCACTTATAGTTTACACAGTGCAGAGAGATTGTGGACGTGTTCACTGGCACTGCAATGATCTAAAGATATTTAGAAGTACAGGTCATCAGTCCTATTTATTGATTTATTTATTTCGCATTGAATATCCAGTTTTACTTATTAAGAACGTAAAACGAGTTGGAATCACGTCTCATTTGGCAAAGTCCCAGATGTGCCTTTTACCAGCCCAAGACTGAAACACTCTGAAAAACACATTTAGAGGTCACTTTCAGATCATGCTTGATTTTCAAGATGTCTACATTCAAAATCAAAACAGACACAAAGAAATGAAGGTATGCCATATGTAGCTGTACTGAGGCTAATAGTTCGATGCTGATA